ATATTGTAATTTTAAAAATGTATAACTGATATTGTGTAACAGGAAGAAAAGGTCTAAAAGAGCAGGGGAATTGGGAGGGGTAGGGGAAGGGAAAAAAGGGAAAGGAAAAAATGAGAAGAGGAATAAAAATGGAAACAAGGTCTTTGCAAATAGGGCAGTGTGGAGGGGGTGAAGGGAGGGCAAGGGAAGTTGAAAAAAATAAGAACCAAGATACTCATGTAAAGGTACTAGATCCCAATGATGAATGTAACTGTATTTTATACCAAAAATGTACCAATAAACTTAATGGGAAAAAAAAAAATTATCTTTCTATGTCCGGCATGTCTGTCTTCAGCATTCCATGTTACTTGTCTCCTCCCTGATCTCAGGTTCTTTTTCAACTTACTCAGCAGATCTCTGTTTTTATCCAAGTTACTAATAATCACTTGAGTCGGTCAGAGTTAATATCTATCATATTCTACTAAAGGATAGTATGTGATACACTATGGGTAATATCCCAATATCTGTAACTGTTTATTTTGGCCACATTTCCCTGTGTTGACCGTAAGACAGACGCTTTATATTCCTTTGTTCTTCTATTCTTCTAATATCTCCCAAAAAGAGGAAATGAAGTTATTCTAGCATTTTACTTTAATTAATCCATACTGACTTCTAGTATTTTCCTTTTTTTTTTTTGGTACTGGGGATCGAACTCGGAACCTTGTGCTTATGAGGCAGATGCTGGAATCACTGAGCTAAATCCCCGGCCCTGACTTCTAATATTAACTGTTATTTTAAAAATAAATTTTAGTAATACATTATAAAACCTTATTTCATCAACATCAACTTCACTACATTTTGAAAAGTAGAATCTTCTTACTTTTATTTCCTTCCAGAACAGTAGTTTGCCTATGTCCAGTTTTATAATACTTCTGCCTTCAACACTCCAACATTACTTATCATATGCTCTTTCCATATCTCTAAATGGTTCTTATATACCCAAACAGACTTTCACCTAAAGTAGCTGAATCCTCCCCCTACAATATGCAAACAGTAAAGAAAGGTATGTCAAAGATTTATCATTGCACACTGAGCTGAGTAACGTTTTGAGTAGAAAGGTGTTTAGCTGTCATGTTACCTTGCCTTTTTGAATTTTAAAACTCAACTTGCTTCTTTGTCCTCTGAAAGCTTACAACATCATATAAGGGATCTAAGATTTACAGCTTACAAAAGACTCCATACCAAAATCCTTTCTCAGAACATCCTGGCAAATCTATTCCCATCCCCAAGTAACTCTCATAGGACTAAACCCTCAGGGTGGAACACCTAAATGATCACTGGGCAAATCTGCAAAAGAAAAAAAGCTTTACCTTCCCAGAACCACTCTAATTTCAAGTGTTCTCTTTCATTCTCTATAGTTATCTCTGCTACAACATTCCAACTTCAGAAGAGGCTTACATATCTTTGAACAGTCTGCCTCATGTTTCATCTAAATGTGCTCTTCCATCTCAAAATATTCCTGACTCTAGACACCATTCCTTCAACCTCGGACACTAGATATTAGTTCAGAATATCATTACAAACTTCTACCAGTATTTATCTTTATTAAGCTTCTAAAACTGACTATTGTTGAACATGTTTAATTTGACATGGATTTAATGGTCTTATTAAATGGTCTAACATATAATTTTACGTGCCTGAACAGAGAAGTTACGGTACAAAGACAAACTTCACCCACTTTTGGGGGTTTTTTTTTGGGGGGGGAGTTGTTTTTGTTTTGAGACAAGATCTTGCTATGTAGTCCAGGCTGGCTTGAATTCCTGGGAGTCCCCCACACCTCAGCCTCCCGAGTGCTAGTGCTGGTATTAGAGGCGTGTGTCACCATGCCCAGCTTTCCATCCACTTTCACTCTTAAGACTACTCCTGTAACACCAGCAGTATTCTTTTTTTAATAACAAGACATTTATTGGTATATTTTAGGGTTATATAATGAAAACACTCATCATAGGGAATTTGCACCTTGTACATGGAATTTTGACTAAATTCCACATCAAAAGTAGAGAAAATCTTATTTTTCTGGTATCTCTAAGGAAGAAATCAGAAGCCTGAAGTCACTAAGATTGTATTAAATAAAAGATAGCCTCTTTAATAAATGGTGCTAGAAAAACTGGATTTCAACCTGCCAAAGATTAAAACTAGGCCCATATCTTTCACCATGCACTAAACTAAAATCGAAGTAGATCAAAGATCTAAATATTAAAACAGAAACACTAAACTTGCTGGAAGATAGGTAGGTAGAACTCTTGAAGACATTGGCACAGGTAAAAACTTTATTAACAAAACTTCAGTAGCACAGGAACTAGCACAAAGAATAAACAACTAGGATCTCATCTTACTAAAAAGCTGCTGCACTGCAAGAGAAACTACCAACAGAGCTAAGAGACAACTTACAATGTGGGAAAAAATTTTTACCCGCTGTTTCTCAAAGGACTACCATCTAGAATATATAAAGAACTTAAAAAACTCAGACCTCCCAAATTTAAAGACCCAATTACTTTGGCTTGAAAAAGAAATTCATTTTTGAAGAAAGTGTCAAAATATTCCCAACTCCTACTAATTAAATGGTATTAATGATTTAATAAAAACATACATTCAAGGTATCTTGGGAAAATGTGGGCTATAAAACAACCAAAATTCTGTGGAATTTCTGTGAATCCACTGATAACTGCTAGATAACCAAAGATCACAAAGATACGTGGATTCTAGTTGCAGTTCTACCATAAACTGCCTACCTCACCTTAATTAGCTAACCTCTCAAGAGTAATAATCACCCTGCAACTTGCATATGTGTGTGTGCACATGTGCACAAGGATACATTAAGGCTGAAGTCTATTCTGGGTCTAAAATTCTGATTCTAGCAAAAAATGAAGACTTAGGAGACTGTGGATTACCTATGTAAAATACCATTATATCTTGTCCTAATTTTCATATATTTCAATGATCCAAAACATTTCAAAGGCTGTGATTACAACTAAGATATGTAAAAGGATTGTAGTATCTACACCAATATATTATTAGTAGTATAAATGCTTAACAGAGTTCTAAAAATAGCACATCAATTTAAAAATGTGTTATGGAGAAGCTTTACTTCCTACCACTGCACTCACCCATCATCTTAAAACATTCACATTGCTTGGTACATCAATATTCTTTCTCCAAAATCTATTTACCATAAAAGCTATAGTATTTTCTTATTTATTTATTTGAAGACAGGGTCTTGCTATACAGTTCAAGCTGGGCTTGAATTCACTATGTAGCCCAGGCTGGCCTCAAGCTCTCAGCAATCCTCCTGCCTCAGCCTTCTGAGTGCTAGGATTACAGACGTGCGCCACCATGCCCAGTATTTTCTTTGGTCATACTTAAAGTCAACTTTTCACTTTACTGGCTTACAGAATCAATAAGGAGGTGAGGGGATTATAAGTTTAAACGTAACTAAACCTTTATGGAAGCCAACAACAACAGTTTTTTCCTCATTTAACTTTCCAGGAATTTGCTGAAACAACCAAAACACCCAATTACATGTGATCTAGGAAAGAGTAGGCCTTATATTAGAATGTTTATACTTATTCAGTTTATAAGCAAGATTCAAGCAACTTACCATTGTTCCAAAAGGAATGGCTCTTGAAGCATGGTAGTAAATGGCTATAAAGTTGATGAAGAAGGCAGTGCCACACACCATAGCTGGGATAAGAAATGCCCCAATAAACATCTGCTTTATCCATCTCCTTCCTGAAAGGGAAGGAAAAGTATAAAACCAGAGCTAGACAAAGATGTTTAAATGTTTATAAGTATCTAGGGCCAGATAATTTATTTAAAATTTTAATATAAAGATCGTGAAGTTTGATATCCTAAATTGTTCCAAAACAATGGCTGGTGGAAAACATCTCCATTTAGCTCAGAAACAATATAAAGATTTAAAATTGGATCATTATTAAAATTCAACCCTACAATCATAAGCAAAAGGGGCCCAAACAGAAAATACTATAGGAAAAACAACCCAAACTTTTGTTTTCCTCTATATAAAGTTCTTTTTAAACATCTGTCTCAGAGAATTACTGCCCCCAATCTTAATATTCCTTCAGAAAAACTCCGTGATTTTGAACTTTCTTTTTCATTTCTTTTTCAGATGTTTCACGAATCCCTCCTTTCCAACTTATATCCAGCATTTGAACAACATTACAAAAATGGTGGCAACTAATAAAAGTATTTCTTCTATTTAATTCCTAGAATTTTCCTTTCTTCTACTTTTGATTATCTTCTCAGATTCAGACATGTATCAATAAAGCTCCTTAAATAAATCTCTTTATCTCTCCTTTGCTTTGAAATAGTCAAAAGAATCCCATGCACATCCACTGGGTACAACCAGTACCCAGGTACCTGGTTCCCCACACACTTGGAGACCTAGTCAAGCCCTGGCTTCAAAAACTGGGTCTATTGCATTATTCAGTGCACGGAGAGTAGTGAGAAGACCTTGAGCTCTACTAAAGTTCAGATCCTGACATTATTTTAAAATTACTGATTCCCTTGGCTGATCTCTACATTTTAGGTCTCTACTGATTTTCCAGGATTATTCAGACAAAATATTAGGATATGATCAGGCCTTCTCAGATAACTACCAATCAGAATATAATCTTTATACTTTGTAAGATAATCCTACATCTGAGCTTGAACTCTTAGTTTTCAAGAGTAAATATAGAAAAAGAAAGTGAGCTGGGTGTTCTTAATTTGCAATCAAACTAAAAGTAAATTTATGTTGAAGTATGAACACGTTTCCTATTTTAAATAAATTAGTTTGTGTTATGGAGATTTTTTCTGGAAGTTACAAACTATCAAGTTTTAGCCTAACTAGTTTTCTGGTCAAATTCAAAGCAGTAAATACCTTAGGCATTCTTATCTCCTTAGGATGAAGCCCTATATGACAGGACTTCTTTCCCACACCAGGAGGTAGAACAGTGACTGAATACCTAACTAAAACAGTAGAAATCAATAGGCAATTCATAGAATTAGCTATACAGAAGGTACTGACCACTAAATCTAGTAGGACCTATGAAAACAGTGAACAAGACATCCTGAGTGAATTTTAAGTGATCCTACATTATGACATAATAGATAAGTCTCTCTAGTAATACTGATATTGCTTAGGATAGGCTGTGAAAATGCTATTAGGAAGTTTGTCTTGGGAATATAATTTTAAAAACTTTTCAACAACCATTCATAAACAAAAATATCCTTGTATTATCCCCATCATTTCCAGGTCAAAGCAGTAAAGGAATGAGGAGGTATTTAAGATGAAGTGCCCTTAGCAAGAGATTATGACACAGAATAACAGAAATACTTGCAAAGGTTTCTTTGATAAATATTTAAGATAATGAAACAGCACTCCTTCCTATTCTCCTTCCACTGATCAGAAGCTTTATCATACACCATTAAACATGTTTTTATATTTGCCTGTAATAATGTTATGCTCTATGTGAAGTCCTCATATGGACCACATCTAGGAGCTGGCACCTCAAAGCAATGTGAATCAAATAACTTAAATGTATTCTCCTACATGTTCCTCAAGGCTAATTTCACAATGGAGATATCTACTAATTATTCATAATTTTAGGAAATAAAATGCAAGGATTCCATAAAAACAAGATAGAACACGTAAAAGATTGGTAGAAGTCAGTGAACTGAGATAGCAAAGGATTTTATAATAGCTATACTACCCATTTGAAATTTCAATTACCTCTTGGAAAATATTAGCACCTATAATTAAAAAGACATATTGATAACTCCTAAGTTACCTCCTTGTCTAGCATACAGACTTCCTCCAAAATAACCATTCACTGGAGACGTAGCAGCATATACAAATATGGCTGTACTGAGCATTGATCCTCTCCTTAAAAGGTGAAAACATAAGGAAAGTTAAAACAATTTTTTTAAAAACTCACATAGTCTCCCCCGTTAGGTTAATTTCAAGGATAAAATTAAAAACACAAAAAGACCACATTCTGTTGTATAAAAAGCCTGAAAAGGTTCTCTAGTGAATGAATTCATATTAAAACTGTTCTTAAATACCATGCTAATATTTTTTTCTAATCTACAGTTAAATTTCCTAATATATTTTAAACAAATATTTCACATTTCCTTGGCAAAAATATTAGATGCTAGCACTAAAACTGTTTTGCAACCCTGCAATTCAAGCCCATCATATGGAACAAGATATTCATCCGGTTTTAAAAAATGAACAGATTATTCTTTTTCATGACATGATTCCACTCCTTAAGAGTTTTGCTTAGAAATAAAATGGAAGCAGGACAACTTATGTTAAGCATTATTATTTCAAGTGGTATAAGATTGAGACTTTTTCTATCAGTTTCCCTTCTGCTGTTAAAATGATTTTTTAAGAAATCTACTGCAGGGGATTTAGCTCAGTGGTTCCGCTGCCTGCCTCGCAAGCACAAGGTCCCAAGTTCGATCCCTGTTACCAAAAAAAAAAGAAATCTACAGGTACACTAGTCAAACATTTAACTCAGTAATGACATCTAGGGAATTCATACCAACTACTCTGTTGAATAAAACTGGAAAAAAAAATTTAAATGCCTAGTTGCAAAGAGAAATATTAAAATGATAAATAACAGTATCATTTGCCATAAAACAGGAACGTGCTTATTAACCCATGTACTCTTCTGTTCAAATACCTTTGCTCATTTTCTTAAAGAGACTGCATACAGAACAAGAGGGATAGATAGGGATGACTTCTTTTCCTTTGATTTTTCTTTTTTTCAAAATGGGAAAAACTGTCATAGGTAGACATCTACAGCACAGCAGATTGGAGCCTTCGCAGGCCTTCTTCCCTCACTGCATGGAATTCATACTTAGCTCCAAAGAGGGTCACCTAGTCTCTTCTACATGCAAACCTGGCCTGAGCAGACCCCCACTGGAGATAGTTAAAATTACCTGTAATAGTCTGTCTTCTAGAGGGAACAATTACATGTGGCTATCAAACAACTATGGTTATCAAAGCAACAATGAGAAGCCTGTATAGCTGGGTATTCCAGTCAGATAAACTATCAGCTTAGGGTCCATCTTAAAATGGTCTTTGCTTTCATAGGTGTAAAAGATTTTTATTCCTTTTGATTCTTATTACCAGAGATTTCTGTTAACTGATTTACAAAGTTCTGACTAGTCTTTTTAAATAATTATAAACCTAAAAATTGTAAAAGTTATTATAATTCAACTTGGCCAAATACATCTGAGTGCACTCTTGTTTACAAACAAGTTGTCTTATGTGTGTGTGTGCCTGTTCAATTTGTTAAAACGCATACAGCTGTTTTGAGCTTTTTTTTTTTGGCATTTTGGATTTTTTAAGATGTTTGCCTGTAATTCAAGTTGGCTTATAGATAAATATAATTATAGACATGCTTCCCCCAGGTTGCCAGATGATCCAAATAATGTCAACTGGTTTTACAAATACAGTACATATTGTTGTCTATGTATAACTTGGAAATCTTTCATTGGTCAAGATATGTGCTAATCATGATCTAGCTCTCACGGGCCAACTAAAACTTTGTTAAGATAATTAAATAAAGACTCTTGGGCTTAGGAAAACTACTGGACAGGGCTCCTCTTGGTAAATAAAGAAGCAGCTGCCTGGAAAAAATTTATTCGAGCCTTTGTACACAAAGGAGGAGACCCCAATATTTTCCATAGCCTTGTGGGAAACACATCTCTAAACATATCTTTGTGATATGTATACATTGGTCATGGTCTAAGTTTTCTGAGGGAAAACAGATTTTCTCTAAAACGCTCTTGGTACAAGACAAAATTAAGGGACAAAGGGTTTCATGTAACAGATACTCATTGTTATTTCATAGTATACATATTCATGCCTTCCAGGTATACAAGTCTTCTAGGATATTGTTTATGGTACTGATCTTTTTTGACTCAGGTATCTGCCTTTCTCTTGCACTCCGGCTACTTGTAATAAGAGGTACATGTCAAGTCAGCATTAACCAATCAAATAGTAGTTTTCTTAAAAACTTATGTGATGAGGCATGCCGCAGCTAACTGCAGAGGAGGCTTCTGGGTCAACGTGCCACAGCTCTCAGCAAATAGGAGGCTTCCGGGTAGGCGTGCCACAGCTCCCAGGAAGACTAGGCTTCCAGGTCAATGTGACACAGCTCCCATCAGAGAGGAGGCTTCTGAGTAGGCATGCCATAGCTCCTAGCACAAAGGAGGCTCCTGGGTAGGCGTGCCACACCTCCCAGTGCAGAAGAGGGTTCCGGGTCAGCGAGCCACAGTTCCCAGCGCAGAGGAGGCTTCCGGGTCAGCGTGTCACAGATCCCAGCCCAGAAGAGGCTTCTGGGTAGGCATGCCATAGCTCCCAGGGCAGAGGAGGCTTCCAGGTAGGCATGCCACAGCTCCCACTGCAGAGGAGGCTTCCAGGTCAAAGTGCCACAGCTCCCAGTGTAGAGGAGGCTTCCTGGTCAGCGTGACACAGCTCCCAGGGCAGAGGAGGCTTCCGGGTAGGCATGCCATAGCTCCCAGGGCAGAGGAGGCTTCCAGGTAGGCATGCCACAGCTCCCACCACAGAGGAGGCTTCTGGGTCAAGGTGCCACAGCTCCCAGTGCAGAGGAGGCTTCCGGACAGGCATGCCACAGCTCCCAGCACAGAGGAGGTGAGCTGCGTGGGCGCCAGCAGTACTCCACCAACGCCCGACAAAATGAGAAGACACAAAAAAGCCTCAGAACCAAACTTCCAGATCACCTAAAGCAACCCCAAAGGGAAACGAGATGGAACACTCTGAAACAAAACCACTTGGACTCCCTACACTAGCAACAAAAGAGGATCTGGAAAAAATGAAATCAGAAATAATTTCTCACATAACAGCAGAGATTGTGCCCATAGTGCAAGACATGATTAATAAATCTAGAGAGGACACAGATAAAAAAATTATACGA